ATTGCCAGGAAATGACCAGAAGCTAGGAGAGAAGTCTGGAACAGATTCTTCTCTGGAACAGATTCTTCCTTACAGCCCTCAAAAGAAACCAACAGTGGCAACACCTTGATCTCGGACTTCCAATCTTCAGAACCATGAGGGAATAACATTCTATTGTTTAAGCCATTTCAGTTTGTGGTGCTTTGTTTCAGCAACCTTGGCAAACTAATACACCTCTAGAGGTGATTCCTACTGGTGACATCAAAGGACAGCTCTGTCCAGATGGAAGGAGGCACTGAAGTTCCACAGAACAAGTGGGAGACGCGTGAAAACCCTGAGAGTGCCTCTCCATGGTCCAGCAGCTCAACAAGGCTGTCCATCTTGTACTGCCCTGAGAGAACAATTTGCCATTCTGAACATGCCCCTTCTCAAGATATGCTGAATCCATAGGAACATCATTTTTTTAAATTATACTTTGAGTTCTGGGATACATATGCAGAATGTGCAGGTATGTTATATGGGTATACTTCTGCCATGGTGGTTTGCTGCGCCCATCAACCCGTCATCTACATTAGGTATTTCTCCTAATGCTATCCCTCCCCTAGACCCCAACTCCCCGACAGGCCCCGATGTTTGATGTTCCCCTCCCTGTGCCCATATGTTCTCATTGAGGAACATCATTTATTAGCCATAGTTTTATATATTTTGGTGTTTCCTTGTAATTTTCCTTCCATATATGTCCATGGTTTGTTTTGTGATTTTGACTACAAACCCTTTAAGGGCTGGAACCACATTACAAACCTCATTGGGAGTCAGGTGATGTTTGATAAGAATTCTTGGTGTGACCTCAAGCATGTCACCTTTCCTTTCAGGCCTGGTTTCCTTGCCTATGGAAGAAATTATCATCACTGAGCTCTCTCCAGTTACAATATTCTGTGATCCCAACTCCATATGTATTTACATACCCAACCTGCCTTCTTAGGGTCCTAAAGGGAAAGACCGACCCAGGAAACTCATCTCTTAGATACGCTGAGCAGCTGTCATCTGGGGTTACATGAGTCAGCCTCATTTAATAAGGGGCTAGACCCCAAAGGTTTGGGAGCAATATAGTACTCAGGAGCTCTAAACCCCACTAAGTCCCTTTCCTAGACTCCAAAATCCTCCTGCCTGGGCATCTGTCTTTCTAGAAGGCCACTTTTTATGTTATTATTTTTTTCTTTTTTTCTCCCATGAGTCATGGAGAACGAGAGAAGGCCGCTTTCTTAGTGAATGCTGAAGCTTTCTCTTTTTGGAGGCAGGCTCTGGATGCTGTATTTCATGTAATGGGGAGCATGCCCACGGTAGGGCTGGGCTTCTGTGGACCATGTGGAAGCCTCCTGTCTCTGCTTTGGGGGGTGGGAGGAACATTGCCTTTCCAACTGGGTACAGTATTTTGGGCAAATGACATCTTGTTTCCTACCTTGGAGGGATTACAGCATGCCTTGGCCTCCACTATAGAGAAGCTTGGGCCTAGTCAAAGAAGTATAAGGGTCCTTCTAATGACAGACACCCCAGACGCGTGGCTATCTGTGTGTAAATTATGCTCTTTTGGTTCCAGGAAATAGACTCATACAGGCCAGTCCAAGTAATGGCAGTGGTGTAGAAATGGAGGCAGTGACCCCACTATAAAGTGGTTATAAGAGGGATGGATTATCCTAGAAATCTAAGACTAGACACCCCCACACAATTATAAGCTTCATAAAACTAGATTCTGAAAGGTCGTCCTGGTTCTGGAACTCTGCCGTTAATGAGGCCCCAAGTACTCTTCAGGGTTCGGCTTTTCTCTGCTTCTCTTCCTCATTCTAATTCTCTTAGTGCTTACCAATGCACGTCTCTGGTAGAACACAAGACAGCTTATTATTATTATTAAATTTTTTTGAGACAGCATCTCACTCTGTTGCCCAGACTGGAGTGCAGTGGCACGATCTTGGCTCATTGCAAACTCCACCCCCTGGGTTCAAGCTATTCTCCTGCCTCAGCCTCCCTAGTAGCTGGGATTACAGGCTTGCACTACCACGCCTGGCTAATTGTTGTATTCTTAGTAGAGGCGGAGTTTCAACATGTTGGCCACGCTGGTCTCGAACTTCTGACTTCGAGTGATCCGCCTGCCTCAGCCTTCCAAAGTGCTGGGATTACAGGGGTAAACCACCGTGACCAACCTTATTATTAATTATTACTATGAGTGAGACAGAGAGAGAAAATGGAAACCCAGATTCCAAAGGGAATAGCTCATTTCTGCAAGAAGCCTGAGGCCTAACGATTGAATTGAACCGATTAAAGTTCTACTGACAACCGTCATGTGAACTCAGCCTACCTGGACACTTTCAGCTGTGTGACCTCGGACTAGTTCCTGCCTCCATTTCCCCATATTTAAAACAGAACATGTGTAACCAGGCATGGTGGCGTGCCCCTGTAGTCCCAGCTACTCTAGAGGCTGAGGCAGGAGGATTGCTTGAGCTCAGGAGTTCAAGTGAGCTATGATCATGCCATTGCCCCCCAGCCTGAGTGACAGAGCAAGACTCCATCTCTAAGAAAAATAAAATAATAATACATAAATAAATATTAAAAAGTAAAATGGAACATTGGCCTCTGGTTGTCCTTCCCTTAGGGTTGTGTAAGGAGCAGGAGCCTGTTCTCCACTCCCCACCCCAGGCTCTGGGTGGCAGTAGGAAAGTGCCTTCACGCCTCCTGCCTCAATCTTTTCATGGGTCAGATGCAAGATCTGAGCTAGGTGATAGTACCACCCCATCCCTTCCAACTCCTAAATAGCTCTGCATAGTTCTAACCACCCTGCTTCTCTGGGATTACCCCTTACACATCCTCATCACCCTGGTCCTCATAAACCTATCCTCTAAAAATCCCACAGTGTAGAACATCACGCATATTCCATGTATTGGTGAAAAGTTGCATTTACATCATGCTTTTTAGTAAACATTTTATATTCCCTTTGCCCTGGCTTATCTGCTTAGAGACTTTTCTTTTTAGTTATTATTGATTGTCAATTGGCTCCAGTCACTCACTCTTTGATCTTCCCTTTTGTTTAAATGGCCACCCACGCTATCTGCCCTCGCCCCTCCATCTCTCTATTAAACAGTAATGAAATGCAAACAAACTTGGAGGTACTCTGGGAGCAAAGGGACCCTGGGGCCAGCTTCCCTTAGGCCTGTGAATTGTCATTCCTGAAGCTGTCTGTTTTGTAAGTTCTTCTGCCAAGTTTCTATGGGAGCAGAGGGATCATTTTCTCCCTTTTCAAAGAGCAGGGTGAGTTGAGGCCTTGAGCTGGCAAGTCCTTTAAAGTCATTTTCAAAGGAAACCTGAGCTGAAAGGCCATGCAGCTGGCAGAGGGTGCTGTGCCTTTCTGAGGCTCTCTATGGGGCGCTGCGTGGTCAGCTCCCATAGCTTCCCAGCACGTGCTCGGAGCCTGCTGCAAAGGCACTGCCAAGGGACACGACTGCCCAACAAGTGGGCCCACGGCCCTGGGGACAGGCTCAACTCCACATGCCCTCCCCACTGCCACCCAGGAACAGGAAGTGGGGTGTGCAGGCTTCTCCTCTGGGCCAGTGACCAGAACCACACTTGTCCTCACTATTCTCAGGTCAAACTTGATCCTTGGGGTTTTTTGAGGTAAAATAAAACTAGGTGCCAAAGCAAGCTAGGTGAACTTGCATCTGAATCAGGGAATCATAAATGGTGTAGTTCACTCTCATGGACAGGTTGGAAGGGTGACCCAGAGGGAAAGTACTTGTCCCAAGTCACACTGGAGGAGGTGGCTGAGTTCTACCACAGGGCTCTTGGGACAGAGCACCTCTGCAGGGATAGAGGTTTGCTTGGCTACTAACCATTCATAAAGCTTCTGAGTCTGCGGATGTCTGCCAATCACCCAGCAGACACCAACCAGCCCACATGCACTCAGGCTGAGAAACACATGTCTGGAGTCACATGCCTTCATACTGCCCCATGAGCTGAGTGGAGAGAAATTGTTTGTGAAGCCAGGAAGCAAGATGGGCCTTCTCACTTCCAAGACTGGGCAAACTGAGGACCAGAGGAAGAAGAGATGCCTGTGTCAGCAGAGCTAGCAGGGAAGTCATTAAATACTTAGCCTAGGCTGGGCACGGTGGCTCACACCTGTAATCCCAGCACTTTGGGAGGCTGAGGTGGGCAGATCACCTGAGGTCAGGAGTTCGAGACCAGCCTGGCCAACATGGCAAAACGCCGTCTCTATTAAAAGTACAAAAAAGTAGCTGGGTGTGGTGGTGCGTACCTGTAATCCCGGCTACTCAGAAGGCTGAAGCAGGAAAATCACTGGAACCCAGGAGGTGGAGGTTGCAGTGAGCTGAGATCGCACCACTGCACTCCAGACTAGGAGACAAAGCGAGACTCTGTCTCAAACAAACAAACAAACAAAATGCTTAGCCTAGAGCTGAGTGGGAGATCCTTCCAAAATCTCCCACCTGAGCTCTTCAGAAAGGGCCTGGAGTCCACAGTCCCTCCTGGTGCTGGGATCCAAATGTACGTTCATGCCAAGGTACCGGGAACCTAGCCTCATCTCAAATGATACTCCTTTTTGAGAATGCAGCAGCCAGCAGCCCCTCCCCTCCAAGAGCATTTTCCACCAGGTTAGGAGCTGAGGGAGCAAGACCCAGGCCAGGCCCCATTCCAATGCAAGAAAAGCCCTCCAGACCAAGCCCGCTTGACTTTTCAGCATTTTATTCTGATATTTGTACAGCTATATTTTACAACGCGGTGATGCAGTTTAGACACAGCCAAACCCTGTCTCCGGAGTAGTAACAACACAAGCATGACGCAGAATGGGATGAGACACACATTCCCAAAGAGAGTTTAGTTAGTAACAACTTCAAGTCCCTGTGTCTGCCTACACTTCAAAACGGGATGGCACACGCTCGCCCGTCATTGAACACTTCCGTGAAAAAAGGCACCGTGAGGACACGTTGTACAGGTATATACAAACTGAAAACTAGAACAAAATTACACGTTTTTCCTTCTGCAGATTTTTTTGTTCTTTTTGTTTTTTTTTTAATACACACTTTGTAAATTGTAAACCTTCACTTGCAAAAAAATACAAATACACTGAGGCATTTTAGACAAAATATTTTCTTACTTATACAGATGCAATACTTAAAATATTCTCTTAAGTGCTCTTTCTCAATAAAGATTCTCAGATCCGTGTCTGCCTGCAGATACAAAATCGAGCCTTTGACGCAGTTTTATATTTTTAATATATCTTTTTTAGGTTTATATATATTTATTTTATATATATATATATTTATATATTTACAACTCTGCCATATATTCCTTCACCTTTGGTTAAAAAAATTAAAGCCCTCTCTTTGATAACATACTGAAGTCTTGTCTTTTAAAAGAATGCACATTTACATACAAAAGAAACATCTGTTCCCACAAAACATATACATTCCTCATTTTGCAGACTAAAGTCAAGTCAGAACTTTTGCATACTCCCCTGCTTTGACATATAAAATGATTTTGCTTTTTGCTGACGTGGTTCACCTTACACATAGGAGAAGAAGCAATATGATTTTCTTAATGTTTTATGGCAGTGGGGGAGGGGGAGCTGCTGCGGCTCCCCGTCCCCCAGGCCCCGACCCCCACCACCCCCCACCCCCAGCTATGATTTGCACTAGTGGATGAAAGAGGCACTACATCATGGGATGAACATTGTAAAGTGTTACAGTATCCTTTGGGTAGATTCTGAGAAGGGGCTGGAGACGAAAGCATCAACACTCCATGCTTCAGCAGGCTTTGGGGAGCTCCGGAGGCAGGTCAGTGGCTGACACACGGTATTGCACCTTGGTGTTGGTGATGGCACCATGCTTCTGGCGCAAGTGAAGTCGCAGCTGGCTTTTGTGACGGAAATGCAGGTTACACTTCTCACACTGCAGGGATATCAGAGGCAAACTGTTAGCTGTCATCAACCCAAGAAAGGTGTCATTGCTCAAAGACCCAGAGAGGAAGATTCTCCCTACAAGGGACAGGGGCAGCCCTTGCCTCTCCAAGGCCAGGTGAAGAACCCATATACATCCGGGCTTCTGCCAACAGATAAGCTAGCATCGTGCAAATGTCCATTCCCTGCTTTCCCAAGTGTTGCTTCTGCTTCTCCTTTGCTAGAGATGTGCTTCCTTGCCTTAACTCCACAAGTTCAAGTCTTATCCAAAAATGCAGTTAGATGCAAACTCCTCTAATTATTAAGTCATTTCTGAATCTCTCAAGGATGAAAATAATCCCTGTTTTCCTTTGAGCCTCTGTAAGAGTTCTACCTTTACCACACAGCCCTCCGTGTGCATGGATCCTTCTCAAGTGGGTAACACTTTGAGGGCAATGGCTATTTTTCTCTAAACTTTATAATCTTCCTAGTACCTAACAGAATATACCTCTTATTCCAATTATGCAATTAATCTAAACACACCTGGACAAATGTACTAGATCAGTCTGAATTCATGGATATTCTGGAGTCTAGGGTAAATGTTTTTAAATGCAGTGATATTCTTTCGTAGGGTAGGTATCTTAGGTAAGCTAACTAAACATTAGCAAGTGGAGTCATTTCTTGATTGAATTCAACGAATGGGTAATAAGCACTTTAGTTTAGATAAGTTACTTAAAAATAACATGGATGACGAAATGTAAAGGGGTAATCTAGAGGAGATCTTGAATGAGAAAGGACATTCTTAGATAAAAACAGAAAATGTAAGTAAAGTATGAACTTTAGCTTGTAATTATATATCAGTATTAGTTCATTAGTTGTGACAAATCTATGGAACTAATGTAAGATGCTAACAATAGGATAAAATGCGTACATGTTGGAGCCCTCGGTACAATCTTTGCAATTTTTCTATAAATCTAAAACTATTCTAAAACAAAAAGGGTAATAAAATATGTTCAGATAGAGTATATGTTTTACAGTGAAAATGGAAATAGATGAAGACAAATAAAAAATGAGCAGGGCCATGTGTAAAACCTCTGGTCTTGGGAGACATAGGGTCTGCTGTATCTATGCCATTCACCGCTGTGTGTCCCCAGCATGTCATTTCTCTCTCCGGGTCTTGGATCTCCCTTCTGAATAGCGGGGCCAATACAGGCTGAAAGTCATTCTCAACTCTGATATCCTACGCATCTAAAATTCTAGCAAATCATTATCCTAGCAGATACTTCTTTTACTATTACTATGTGCCTGTGCTACACTCGACACTTTAATAATTAGTTAATACTACAACTTCATGAAGTAGATACTATTATCAAAATCACTTTACAGACTAGGAAATTAAGGTACTAAGAGGATAACTAATTTGCCCAAGAACAAACAGCAAGTAAGAAGATATTCACTCACAGCTTGATAAACAAGAGAACAAAAATAACCATGTTTTGCAGGTTAACCTCTGGTAGGTAGGTTAACCATTCACTGATTACTTCTTGTTCCCATCACCACCTAGAAAGATGTCATCAAATCCTCAAAGCAACCATAGGCAAAATGTACACAAATGAGCATGGCTGTGTTCCAATAACCTTTTACTTAGGGACAATGAAATTTAAATTTCATATACTTTGCACACGGCACAAAATATTCTTTTACTTTTTCATTGTAAAAACCATTCCTAGTTCATGGAATGTTCAGACATTGGCACACAGGCTGTAACTGCTGAGACCAGCCCTAGAACACTACAATCCCAGGGACCCACCCACAGTGTCGTGCTGCACAGCTGGCCGCCTCCTCTTTCTTAAAATGACTCTTCTCTATGTTTTTTTTTAAATAATTTTTTCTTGTAACATCATTAATTCTTGTAACATTCTTTTTGTTCTCCTCCTCCTAAGACTGTTCCTTCTCAAGCACCTTAGCTCCTCTTAAATGTGCCTCTAGCCCAGTATGGGGTGTCCAGTAGGCACTCAATAAGTATTTGTGAAATGAATGAATCCAGGTGGAGGGAATCAAATATATATATCCACAGTCTAGACTATTCTCCAAGGCCCAGATCACCTAGTCCGATACCCCCATTTTAAAGATGAGTGCCCTAAGGCTTGGGCCAAGGTCAAGCAGGCTGTCTGGCCATCAGACCCAGATCTAGGTCTTCCAGCCATTAGCATAGTGGTTGCCCCACTGTGTGCTTGAGATGGGAGCAAACAGTTCTACTGTCTCCCTGCTCCACCTCCTTCCCTGCCCTCCACATCCCCGCAGGCCAGAGAGCGGCCTCAAAAGGCTTACGTACATGGTAAGGTTTCTCTCCCGTGTGGATTCGCAGATGGCTCTTCAGAGTCTGAAGGTGCCGGAAACGGGTGCCACAGATTTCACAGGGATAGGGCTTCTCACCAGTGTGGATGAGCACGTGGGCACGGAGGTGGGCCACCTGAACGAAGAAGAAAGCATGAGAGGCCTTCTGGGGTGGGCTGCAGGCCTCTGAGCAGCCCCTCATCAGCACACAGGGACTGACTGGGCCTTTCTCCGGGCCACTCTGCTCACCTGTACAAATCTGGCTCCACAGGTTTCGCATTTGTAGGGCTTCTCTCCAGAGTGGATTCGAGTGTGGGTTTTCAGGTTGGCTGGTCGGTTGAACTGGGCCCCACAGATGTTGCAGCGATACGGTTTCTCACCTATTACCGAGAAAAGGGGAGAAAGAAAAGCCATATTCAGTAAGGAAGGTCTCTGCAGTCCCTGGCTCCTGGATTCCTAAGCAGCCTGCTCCTCCCTGAGGCCACTTGTGTTTTCCTTTCCCTTAGGGAATGTCAGAGAGAGGATCCAGGGGCCTGCCCCATGCCTGCCAGCCCTCTCTCACACACACACCTGCATACCTTGCAGGGGACCAGGGCCAAGAAACAAGTGGTGGCATGGAGTCGCAACAATGCCAGGTGTGGGATAGGAGAGGGGGAGGTTCCAGGAAGCCCGGGCTTTAGAAGTAGCTTTGTCATTAGGATTATCTGCCTGTGAAACCTGGACAAGTCACTCTCCTTCTCTGGGCCTCAATTTCCCTTTCTGCAATCTGAGGGGCTACTTCAGATTACCTGGGAAGACTCTTCTAGCTTTTCCCTTGGATGAGACAGTTTCACTCATCAACTCATTCACCAGGGAGACACAACAGGCTGCTCTAGTTCCTATCTTTTAGAACAAACATATTTTTCCACTTGTGGCAACTACAGCTGGATTCCATTTGCAAGAGGGGTGGGGCTTGGGTCTGAGTGGATGCTCAGGCAGAGGAAACCAATAGAATGGCTGAACCTTCCTTCATGGAAAGTTTCTGGGATAATAGGGGCATTTATAGTACTAAGAGAGATTTTAAACAACAATCAGGTCATGAGAAGCTACCTGGTAAAGGAATGTGAGTTGATAAGGAACAAGTTATTGAAAGAAATCAAGAGACCTTTTTTTTTTCCCAGCTTTACAAAAATCGAATCTATTTGTCTTCCCCAGACTTACGTCTCTTCACCTGTACTGTGGGATTAACACTTCTGACCCCAGCAAAGGCAGAAAAGCAGGATAGAGCATCTCAGAGGAAAGACAAAGGACACAGGGAGTGGATGAGTCAAGTCACCAAGCAAAGACAAGACAGGGTTAGGCCCCTCGTTCAGGCCAGGATGGGGCCTGCCTCCTGCCTTGCCCCACCAGGTCTTCAGGCCCCACGCAGCTTTCTCTAGGATCCTCTCCCTGTCCTGCCCCAATAGTTGTGGAGACTTCGGGTCATGTGCGGCAGGGCCATACCGGTATGGACGGTCTTGTGGCTGGCGAGGTTGCCCTTGTAGCGGAAGGAGGCCTGGCAGCGATCACACTTGTAGGGTTTGTCACTGTGGGTCTGCAGCGTGTGCCTCTTGAGTGAGGCCTCCTCAGAGAAGCGGCAGTCACACTCATTGCAGAAGAAGGCCCCGTTCTCTGTGGGAGGGTGGTAGGGGGACACCAACGTCAGCACGAGGAAGGGAGGCAGGGCTCTAAGGCCACTCTCCTCTGTAGCTACCCGCTGTGCCAAACTGGACCCTCAGGCCCTCACTCACCCACCCGACCTTCATGGGAGCTCAGAGCAAAGGATCTGTGGGGACTTTATTTTTCTTAGCATTTAGAGTCTTAGCCATAGAGAAAGGAGAAAGGAGATGGACTGAATTAAGGTACAGAAGAGAAGGTCAAACAAATAGGTGTTCAGAGGGCCTGCGCCAGTGTGAGGAAAGCTCAACAGAGATTTTCCTTCCCCAAGAGCTCTGAGAATTGATTTTTAGAAGTAAGTTTATGGTTTTATTTACACTGATACACAGAAGCCCTCAGGCAAGACCCTTTACCTCTGAGCCTCTCTCTGTATCTCTGTCTTCAAAGTCAGATAATAAATCCCTGTCCTGCCTACCTCACAGGAGGATATTATATTACACAAAATAAAACACAGAGCATTCCAGGAATGTAAGGTCTAGGTCAATTCAATTCTACTTTGAGGTCACTGAAGGAGGAATTAATGATGAACACTGTGGTCACCCTTGCACCTATCTGGATCTCATGTCTCCAAATCCTCCTGTGAGATTGGGAGACCAAAGCTGACGGTGGAAGTGGGAACAGAGGCCCAGAGAAAAAGAACTGGAGTGCAGAGCAAAGGCAAAACTAGCCAGGGGGCAGGAGGGGACACTTCTCGCTCTCCCATCTATGGGTCCATGACCCTGTGCCAAATCTCTTGGTGTAAGCAGCTGATTTTTTTTTTTTTTTTTTTTTTTTGAGACGGAGTCTTGCTCTGTAGCCCGGGCTGGAGTGCAGTGGCCGGATCTCAGCTCACTGCAAGCTCCGCCTCCCGGGTTCCCGCCATTCTCCTGTCTCAGCCTCCGGAGTAGCTGGGACTACAGGCGCCCGCCACCTCGCCCGGCTAGTTTTTTGTATTTTTAGTAGAGACGGGGTTTCACCGTGTTAGCCAGGATGGTCTCGATCTCCTGACCTCGTGATCCACCCGTCTCAGCCTCCCTAAGTGCTGGGATTACAGGCTTGATGATTTTTTTTTTTTTCATTTGTTGTAACAATTTGAAAATGACAAGTCACGGCAATTTAACCCTGATTAGGTACTACTGGGCTCTATTACTGTAGCCAGAGCTGGGTGAAGAATTCGACTTTTTTGTCTGGTAAAAACTGGGAATGCCAACCACCGACTATCCAGAAACTCCAATTTAATAATTCTCTTCAACTCTTTTAACTCGACTAGTATTACTGAGTTCCTACTCCATGCTAGGGACTTACTACTACCTATGGGGGATGCAAGAATGAATAAGGTCAGATGCTTCTCCTTGCAGAATGTACAGCCTGGCAGAGAATAACAGGCGCACAGGTCAGTCCCAGTCATTTTGGTATTGAGGAATGGAGAAAGCTCTGGGAGTTGCAGCCAGTCCCACAAGCTACTTTTGCTGGAGTGAAGCTAAAAGACTGTATGGTAAGTTCTAATTACCCCAGATTAACTCTAATACCCCATCCCTCGCTTTGGTTAGCTCGGTTCCCTAAGAAGCGAAGCGTGGGATGAACGGCTGCTGACTTGGAGTGCCCGCGGACTTCCAATTGAGGACTGCTCCAATCAGAGACAACAGCATAAGTAAAATGGAGCACACAACCCATGGAGCAGAGGGGTCTTCCTTCTCCCTGACAAGGGGAGGGAGGGAAAGGGACTCACCACAGCTGGAATCTGAGTACTCAGACTGGGTCTCTCCCATCTCCTCAGGGAACGTGGGGCCGGCGGTGTGGAGGCACATCTCTGCATGCTGTGGGGACTGAGAGCCGCAGGACGTGCACTTCGGGGGGTGCATGTAGAGTGGTGAGTGGCTCTCACTGCTGCTGCGGGGAGAGCCTGTCAGGGACCTGTGGGCAGGAGTGAAGACAGCCTCAGCACCTGGGGCAGGGCCTCAAGACCACCCTCTCCTCCCTGTGTGTTGGCAAGCCCAGAGGCCAGAGCTGGGCTGCCCGCTCAGGCTCTGAGACCCCAGCGTTGTCCTCAAGTTTATCTCCAAACAGTATCTGCGGAAAGATCACTGACCAGGGTCAAACTGAGCCAGAGCTTCTCCGTAGCCCACAATCTCTCTCAGTCCAAGGGTAGCAGGATGGTCCCGTCACATCAAGACCACAGGAAGTGCCTGTGGGATTTACAGAACACTATTCTGCCCCAGAAGGGAATTATCTCTCTTGCTGTGAAAACATATACACTACTTCAGTGTAATACACTTCCTTACTTAGACTAACTCAATCAATAGGCACTGATTCCACACCTCTAATAGGCTCAGCAATTCAGGCAAGAAAGAAGAAACCCTTGTATCCATCAGAAGAAATGACGTGGAACCCTGCCCAGGTAATCCCTGACCTCAGACCCAGACTGTCTCTGAAATCACCTGTTAACGATGTTATTGAGCCGGCTGGCTTGCGGGATGGTGGAGTCCTCCCCGCTGGCACTGAGCTTGGTTGGGGACTGGAGGTCAAGGTTCTCAGGCTCCATAGGTGGCTGGCAGGCAGGTGGGGCAGTGTAGGCTCGTGGGGAAAGGCGGCCCAGCTCAGCCTGCTCTGGCCCCTCTGGTTTGGCATTCTGGTTGAGGCTGTTGAGCACGATGAACTTGTATTTCTTCCAGTTGCAGGCTTTGGGGTCAGTGGGGCTCTTGGCTGGAGGGGAGCCAGAGGCCTGGAGGATGCAGGCATTCTTACTGCTGCAGGATTCTGTGGGCGAGTTGGGCTGGCAGTCAGATTTCTGGGGGCTCTGTGGACTAACTAGACCCTTCCGGTTCAGGGGTGCATTGGGGGGCTCGAAATGCAGGGCAATCTCATCTTCTGAGGAGGGTCTCTCTTCTTCTTTGCTGGCCTTGTCACAGGGGAAGTAGGGGGCATTTCGGGCTGAGGGGGCAGCAGGCTTGAGGCCCTCAGCCACACTGTAGTGCATATCGCTTCGTGCCTCTTCTGGGACTGTTTCCTTGGGTGAATAGATATTGCTGTGGCACACACTGGGGGACACCTCCAAGGCCGGCCGGCTGTACTCACCGGGGACTGGCCTGGTACTATCGCACGGCAGGGCCCGCTCCTTGGGGAAGGGGTTGGCCACAGGCATCCGGACATCCCGAAACTCCTCATCGGAGAAGAGGAGGCTGCTGACAGGGAGGTGGCTGTACATGGAATAAGAGGCTGGCGGTGTGGACAGGCCACTGTACAGGCTGGGGGCAAAGGCTCTGCTCTCACACCCAGGGGCGTTCCTCAGTGGCAGGTTGTTCTCCACCACCTCACGACCCCGATAGGCCATGATGTCTTGAGGCATCAGCATGCGGCTGTTGAGGAACTCTTCGTGACGGGGCTTGATGGCAGGAACCATCTCTGCTTCACTGTGAAGGAAAAGAACAGGAAAGACACCAGCTTCAAATGAGAACGGTTAAATAGATGAGCTTCCAGTGGCACTTACGTAACCACATCTGTGTTTGAATTAGCTAGACACAGGTGACATGGCTCTGGAGCTGGGAAATACAATTACAACGCATTTACACTAGAAGCCTGGAAATCTAGCCTACAATTGGGAAGATTGAGGCCCAGAGAAGGGAAGTGAGTTACCGGCATGATCTGTGCCTGATTAGACATAATCTTGTATGTTTAAGGCACATATCTATGCATGTGTGTGAATCTATAGCTCTTCTGATGTTATAAAATTTTATGGCTCACATAAAACTTTCAAAGCCCTTATCTCATTTCACCCATGCAAAATCCTGAAAGGAAGGAAAGGTGGTTATTATTATCTCCATTTTACACATAGGGAAACAGGAAAAGAAGAATTTATACAATGCTGGTATGACACATTTGGAGGATCATACACAAATGAGTAACCTACCGAAGAAAGAACTTGTCCCAGATGCTGATGAAAGCTTTCATAGAGAACAGGCAGCAAATGCCAATACAAGAATCCTTGGTCTAGAGCAGCCAGACCTGGTTTGCAAACCCAGCTGTGCCACTTAGCAGCTAGGTGACATGGAGCAAGTTACTCAGCCATTCTAAGCACAAGGCCTGATCCACTGAAAGTACTTGTAAATGATAGCAACGATGATCTTGCCACCATTAGCACCCACAGGAGACAAAGAACTCTAGCTGTATATATCTGAAGGAACATCATGTGGGTGAAATAAATAGGCAAGCTCACCATGATGACAGTTAACGGAGCTAGAACCAATAAGAAGGTTAAAGAGAAGCCAAAAAGAGAAGCTTTCTAACTGTCCAAGGTATGCTGTGTGGTTCTGGGAACACTGAGTTTCTGGCTCCTGGAGGTTTTCAAACACAGCCTGGAAACCCCTTCTGTTTGAGCGAGGATGCAATCACCCTAGCATGGCTGGATCAAATGGTTCTAAAGAAGTTAAGCTCTGAGTCTCTGTTCCACGTAGTGAAGTTCTTCCCTTCTTTGGATCTCAAGTTCCTCACCTTTAAACGAAGGTCATGTCTTATCACCCCTCAGGTGAACTTAATTCAGTTCAATAAGTGTCCTGCCTAGTAGGAGCAGCGTGACATAAAAGGTGAGTAAGATAGCCCCTGTAACCTTGAGCAGCCCACAGTCTGGTAGGGAACTAAGGCACATATGTAAATAGTTGTAATAGAAGTCTAAAGGAGAACTAAAATACATATGCAAATATCAAAATAGAAGGAAAGTTTAAAGCACAGGCAAAATGCTTCACAACACAGAGGAAGAGCTGAGGGAGGAAAAGTGGTAATCAGAAAAACTTCCACGGAAGAGCTGGCATCCAAGATTAGCCTTGCAGGATGGGTCGAGGAGAGGGTATATTAAGTGAATGGAAGAAAGCAAGATGCGGTAATGCATAGGACGTATCTGCATAGCCACAAGAGTTAAGTATGCCTGGGGCACAAGAGTTAAGAAGAGCAAAAGTGTGCAAAAAGAGTGGAAATGTGGGTTGCAGCATATCGTAGAGGAGTATTTTTTCCGTATGCATGAATTATCAAAGGTTTCTGATCAGGGACTATCTCTTCCATCTCCGAGGCTTCCACCCGGGCAGCAACTCACCTGGCCTTGATAAACTTCCGGCAGGTGTCCACAACATGCTCCATCTGCAAGTACATAGCTGTGGCCATCACAGCCATGATGTTGCCCTCCCGCAAATTGAGCCGAGATGTGTACATAAAGTCCAGGAGGATGCAGAAGCCCTCAGGGTTGATCTCAGGATCTAGATTGATCACACTAAGGTTGCATTTCAACTGGTCTGTGAAGATGCTATAGAACAGGCCACTGTAAAACAAACGAATAGCCCACTCTAGTAGATGTATAGAATCTGTGATCCATTACAGTCAGCACTGATACTTAGCCCCTTTCCCCTGGGCTATTCCCCTACCTCTAGAACTTCTATGGTAATAAATAATAGCTGCTATTTATGGAGAGCTTACCAAATGTCAGAGAGTCATTAAGCACCGTACATGCATTATCCTTTGCTCCTTAGAGCCCTGCAAGGTAGGTACTATCATTCTCTGCCTTTACAAATAGGGGAACTAACATCAGAGGGGTTAACTGAATCTTCTTAAAGTCACAGGGCCTATTTTCCTTTTAGTCTTAACTGTACGGATTACCAGAGTTAATGTAGCCCCCATTTGCAGTAACTATTCTTAGTCTATCTTTGGCATAAGCATTTCCTCTTGTTCCACTGCATTTCTACTTATTTTTTAAATTATATCTTTTTTTAGAATTTGGGTATGAATGACAACTAAATAAAAATATGCCTACATCTATACTCTACTGCTTTTATCAAAGTCCATATATTAAAAGAGGGTCTGTTATTCCTAGAAGACCCAAGTCAAACCCCAAGCAATGCCTCCAGGTGCCATGCTGTCTGGTGGTGGAAAGAGTACTCAATTGTAAACAAGAATTCTGGGCTATCGTCTTGATTCCTGATTCTTCTGGTGGAAGTGAGCCAGACTTCCACCAAGTAGCTATGCAACTTTGGGTAAGATATTTAGCTTCTCTGCATCTTGCTTTACTCATCTTCAAAGTAGGAGGAACAATCATGTCTATCTTACAGTGTTGTGGCAAGAATGAAAATGTAAAGGATATAGAATGATGCCTGGCATATAGTAAGCATTCACTAAACATTATCTATTATTTCTATATCTCTATAAGCCTCTGTTATTTCCACTATTAAAAATCAGGTGCTTAGAGTAGATGTTGGATAAGTTATCTAATAGCAATAGAGATCCCTGATTCTACATCATTTAACCTCCCTGTGCTTTCCTTTTACCATCGATAAAATGACAATAGAATAGTGCAATGCATAACACTGAAGGCTGCTAAAAAGATCCAGGGAGATGATATCATGTAATATAAAATTGCTTTGAAAACTCGAAATACTTGATGAACATGAAGAATCAGCTAGTTCACTCTCACTAACTCTTACATATACTCTGAACACCCATGGAGATTCAGTTGTAGCATAAAATAAATACCTTTATAGCATAAAAGAGCAAAATATTTCAAATTAACTTGCTTAAGCTACTTAAAGAAAGTTCATTTGAAATCTTCTGTCATTTTTTCACTAGTTAACTGAAGTTGTTCTCCATGTCTGCCCCAAACACATCCTTTCTTGGGGCAGTAAATAATTTTTCTCCCTCTCTGCCCACAGAACATGACTCTTTCTTTTCTAAAAGTGCATTCGTTCATTCATTCATTCACTTGGGAGCCTACTCTGCCAGGTCATGCTGCTGAGATCTGGAGACAAAGCAAGACGTTGTCCCAGATGCAGTAAAAGGCCTCCATGTTCCGCCTTGCTTGGCCGCCAGCACCATCACCCCACTTTGACTCACCCACCCTTTCCTTTCAGACCCCTCACCTGCAGGCCATGAGGACCGTTTTATGGGCTCTAAACTGCTCACGGCTCACAACAATGACAACATCAGTCAAGATGTCTCGACTCCGGAGACGATTAAGGTTGAGAAGAACATCACTGGCATGGCGGGTGAACTGGATGCAGCTGTCAGCCGGCGAGGCCATTTTGTCTTCACTTGAAAAAAGAAGCCAAAATCCTGTTAGTCCTCCAGAACCTGTTTCCTGCTTGCCATGGGTATCAGAGCAGGTGGCTCAGCCTGCTAAGGTACGGAATGCAACTCAGGTCCCTTGTGTTTGATCTTTGAACAATTCATAGCCCAACTCTGGCCATTATTCTTCACAGTTTTAAAATGGGGAAAATAACTTTTATACAGCAAGCTGGGATAGAAAGTCCGTTAGGGGAAAAGCAAAGGGAATGAATGTTTGTTGAGTATTTTTCCCACATACCAAATACTCTGCCAAGCACTGAGAGGCAGTGAGTACATGGCAATGGAGAGACACTGTATTTTTTGCTTTTTTTTTCTTTTTGAGATGGAGTCTCACACTGTCACCCAGGCTGAAGTGCAATAGCGCAATCTCAGCTCACTGCAACCTCCGCCTTCCCAGATTCAAGCGGTTCTCCTGCCTCAGTCTCCTGAGTAGCTGGGATTACAGGTGCCTGCCACCACGCCCAGCTAATTTTTTCGTATTTTTAGTACAGATGGTGTTTCACTATATTAGCCAGGCTGGTCTCAAACTCTTGACCTCGTGATCCACCCAACTCGGCCTCCCAAAGTGCTGGGATTACAGGCATGAACCGCCGCGCCCGGTCGAGACACTGTGTTTTAAGATTATCAGGCTAGACTTGCCTTTTGTTAGCTGTGGGACTTTAAGCAGGTTGTTTACTGGTTTTGGGCTCTGGTTTCCCCAAATGGAAGTAGTAATACCTATGTGGTTATAAAAGTTGGAAATACATTCTTTGTTCATAGGAGGTTCTCAAAACTCACAGCTATTCTCATAAGTATCTTATTTCATCATCTCAGTCACCATTGGTCTCTCTCTAGTGTTAGGCTTCAGAGTTGCCTGACTTTCATACCTTGAGGAGCTAGCATATTGTTGGTGCACAGTAGCTGGCTAAATTAGTTTGTACAAAGAAAGAGTAATAGAATGATTGACCATGCAAGTGTTAAGACAGTCTAATAGAGAGGTGAAGGATGAGGACTAGGAGTGATGTAGAGGGAACTGGTTATCCTTGTCTCATATAATGAACAGTAGCAAAGTTCACAGAAACACATGTATTGGCAAATTCAAAAGAAACAGTTTGTCCCAACATTTTAAAGCATATAATTTTATTTACTTACCCAATGCCTTGCTTCACAGTCCAAAATTTTGCTCAAAACCTGCAGAGAAGAGAAGAAAGCAAACAGAAATTGATTTAACGAATGTAAGATTGTCCACTATAGTCTTATTTTAGGACACACACATTTAGTTTTGCTTTGATAGTTGCAGCTTGCCAGCTGGTGTGGTTTTACCACAAGCTAACAAACATTTTCCAGCTCTGCTCTTACGAAAACAACAGGCACCCAAAGCTATGAGATAATAATGTTTTTATCCTGAGTACTGGGAGTACAATTGCATACATTAATTAGTTATACATACATACATACATACATACATACATTTCCTTCTTCAAAGAAAAAATATATACCATCCAAAGGCCACTTGAGTTTATGGGAAATAAAAAACAAGAAAAATGGTTCTGTCAACATTAACAATAATGATCCGTCTGTGACCTAAATATACTGGACGTCATTCAAAACCTGCTACAATATTATCTTTCAAGTCTTAGAATGATTCCACGAGGACGATAGGGCCAATATCTTTATCCTTATTTCACTGGCAATGAAACTGAGATTTAAGGGTTCAAGTGGCTTGCTCAAGGCAAACAGCTAGGCAGTATTTCCTGCCTATCTGAAATACTAAGACTGAATATAGACTCCGCAGAACACAGCCTGAGACGTCATGTCTACGTATTCCTTGAAAACCTTTGTCTTGTTTTTCAAAGTTTTCTCTCCCTTCCCTACTGGGTCTAAGACCAGACAGAATGCTATTGCTTCCAAGTTTGTGCTTCTCCCTGCTGGTAAAAGACTTAACTACGTGATTTAGCTGAGAACTGGCCAGGGAGCACTAAACCTTAAAGAGATTTAATGAAATATGTACCTCCTTCCAAACTGGCTTCTCTAAAACAAAATCATTAAAAGCATAGGTGTGAGGCCCTCATTTATGATCAAATGCGGGCTGCAAAACAAAACAATATTCGAACTGTCTTTCCTCCTGTAAAAAGAAGAAAAAAAAAAAGCGGAACCTTCTAGAGCTATTTTCCGGGTAAACGGGCCTGAGGCCAGCAAGGTCATGTTGGGCCATGTAGATGGTTGGTGACCTGGCCCTAGGTCTTCTGGCTCAAATTCCTGTCCCCTTTCCAAATCAGCCTACGTGCTGTAGAACATGCAAGACAGCACCCTGATGTGGGTGAATCTCATTTTTAAGTTCCTTCCCCCACACAAACACTTTGCCCCATTCCAGGCTGCTGAGTCTTACCAAATGAGCACTCTAAAATGAGAGGTTTCCTTGAGTCTGTAACCAAACACTCTGACATTTCTCTGTGGTCCCAAGTGCCCGTCACTCAATCCCATCGGCTCCAAGGTTAGTGTGTGCATGTGAGCGAGTGAGGACTGGAGGGAAGGAAGTGGGGAAGGGAGAGGACAGAAAAAGACAAAAGAACCTATCTCCTCTTCTCCCTAGCCCAACTCGAGATAGGCAGAGAGAGATAGACTAACTCCGTCTTTACCAAACTTCAAGGATTTTCTCCTTTGCAAAAGAAAGCTGAGGACACATGGGAGGTTTACTTGTAAACTTTCCTCTCTTCCCTCATGGAAGGGATCCTCAAACACTTCTGGAATACCTAGGCTGTTCTTTAACCAGCTTCAACCACCAGCTTGCTTGTGGATTTCCAGTCGCAGGCTTCTGGAACCACAGGAAGCCCAGATTTGCCATTTCACCATGACAAGTGGCAATGACTCACTCCAGATGCGGACTGAAACAAACACATTCTCCTGTGTCCACTGTCAGCTAGGCCTTGGGCTTTTCACCCTAAGCCTCTGCCTGGCCAAAAACAAATGTACATACACAAGGCGCAGTTTCACTCCTTTGTAAGCCAGCTCTTCTTAAAAGCCCCACCCCCCCACTCCTGAGTGTGTGGGTTGAGTGTGGGCAGTGTCGTCACCACCCCCACCCCAGATGCCACAGGTGTGCAAGCACCACCAGTACTTGGTGTGTACTTTTACCGAGCCCTTAGTCCTTTCCAACCCCCCAGGATTGCATCTTATCCTTATAACAGCCCTGCTTTATTAGGGAGGGAACTGAGGCCCCAGGTGAGAAGCCTTGCTCCAAATCTCAAAGCCAGTTTCCAGCAAGTTCTGGACATGACTCATCTCCTAGATTCAGCCATTCCACCAATGCCACACACAAGACTACCCACAAAAACAATCTCCAAGGAGCAGGGCTGTCAATGAGAAACTGCCACTTGCTGGCTGCCCCCACACCTGAACTTCCCATCCCAATCAACCCGCACCCGCGCTGGGTCAGTAACCACCACGGTAGAGTTACATGTTTTCTCCTCCCTTCCTCCCTTTAGCTCCTTTGACGCTTTCCTTGTGCATAGCCAACTAGGCTCCTTGAGAAGGCAGATCCTTTAAAAGAACTTTCCATTGAAGAAGAAAACAGGAACCAAAAAAAAAAAAAAAAAAGCAAAGAGAAAGAGAGAAGACAGAAGACAGCAGAAACGAGAGAGAGAGAGAGAGAGAGAGAGAGAGAGAGAAAATAAGAGCGAGAGGCGAGGTTAAGAGCCAGAGAGCGAGCCAATACAAAAGACCCCATCCTTTTCCTTCCTCCTCCCCTGCGCTGGCACCAGGAAGCCCCATTTTCTCGCTCACACATAAGAGCACAAACACCAGCCTTGCGAGCCGGGGCAGGCCTAGGCAGACCTCGCTACCCCACCCCGACGACTCCGTACCTGTCTTCCAGGGACTGCCCGCCCCTGGGCGATCCACCTCGAAGCCCCCCGCAAGGCGCGACGGAGGCTTTGTGGTATGACCGTGGCGGCCCTTAATTTAGTTACATTCAAATAAAACCTTTCGTGCACCTCGGTAGCTAACATTGTGTGTATGCCTTTTTTTTTTTTTTTCCCTGTTACGCTGTCAAGGCAGCGGGCAATGAGGGGAATGGCACAGCCCTCTCATTCCCGGAACGTAGTCAATCTCGGCTCTGCGGATTTCACAGAACACACTTTGCCTATCGCCGGCTCCAACAAGAAGTAACTTTCCAGGAAGCTGCCGGGCCCGGGCAGCCGCCAGGATCGCTGCCTGCGCTGTGCCGGCCGCCGGGGATTCACCCGGGGAGGCGGGGCCGCCGGGGAAGGCTCGCGGGGAATACAGCACACTTTCCCCTAAATCCCTCGTCCGCGCCGAGTGCAGGGCTCTCAGAGTTCACCTAGTCCAACCTCTCACCCGCAACCATTTATAAATAGGGAAGGTCAGACAAGTTAGTAGCAGAGCTGGGTCTAGAACCCAGGAGTTCGAATACAATCCGAGGCTCATATCGAGACTTTAAGTTGTCCGATTCCGAAGTTTATTTGCTTTTTTCCCTCTTTTTGCCTTCCATTCTCCCTCACCGCCTTTCTTTTAGGGGAATGTTTGGGCGAGACTTCAAGGTCAAAAAGATGGAGTCCCTAGGGGCTGAGGGTCTCCATCATAGGCGCCCCTGGCAAGGTTGGAGAAAAACTAAATCGAAAGCCCCTTCCGCCTACGTTGGCAAGAACGGGAACCCAGCTCCCCTTGGTTTCCGCCCAAAGTCTTTAGAATAGGAGCTGCCAAGCTGTAAGGATTTCCGAAACCGATTTCCCCGAAACCGTAGAGACACTGCTTGGACTCGGCAGAGGCCGGGGCCCCGACCCCTGCGCACGCACTGGCACTCTCCAAAGTTGCCTCGCCTTCCTGTGGCCCTCCCGGGTGCCATGTCCTAATTGGCCTCGGTAGCAGGCTCCGGGGTGCGCTTTCGGGGGTCAGGGGACAGTGAAAGACTCAGCCACAAAGGCCGCAGTCTGATCCTAAAACTAGCCAGTGGCGTCACACTGCGCCGCTCATCCCTTCTGCGGCAGCGGAAGGGTCAGAGTCGGTCTGCAAAGACGGAGCCTCTTTGGTCTCAAAATCCTACACTGAGGCTTTCTCACCCCTTCGCCCGGTAGGATAAAGGTGAAAGAGACGGTTGGGATTTAATATGGGGTAGAGATGAGAATCTGGGAAGTTAAAATTAAGTAAGTGCATTTATTGGAAATTAGGAGTCCCGTGGTTCCGGGAGCTCAAACCTAATGGTGTTTTTACCGCTGCCTAACACTAGAGAGAGCCCTCCATCAAGGTTTGAAACCGTCAACCCCTTTCTCGCCCCTCCCCTCCTTCCCATTGACCTAGTTTGGCCAGAGCCTCCCGATTTGGAGAATGCCTTCCGCCCTTCCCCCTCCTCTCTAGCCAGGCCGGCTGTTGGATTATTGGTAATCTAATGACTCCAATAACCCGCTGAAAAATCCAAAGGGAAATTTGAAAGTGTAAAGCACTGTTTAGGGACAAGGATAAGGAATTTTAATAAGGCTGGAACTGCCGTAGTGAACCCCGCATCAGGGGCCCTGCCGTGGGGCTCCCGGTCTCAGCGGTGTCTCAGCCAACTAGCTGCACAGCTGCAGACACCACCGTGGTCCGGCGGCAGGGGTGAGGTCAAACGGCGGAGTTGCTTTTATTCTTGGGGGAAGACACTCTTCGCCCTCTTGGCTGGGGGACGGGAGGGTACAGGAGGCGACAATGGATAAAAGCGAATTTGATAACGCGATGGCCTCGGCAGCCGCTTTGGATAACCGAGGTGTTCGGGGACATTATGTCCTGACTTTCATTTCTATCACGTTTCCTGCCAAAGTGCTCTTGCAAGCCTGCAAGCTTCTAGGAAATGCAATAAAACAGAGGGATGTGTTTTATCATCAAGATCTGAAGAGGAGTTGCAAAAGGGACGTTCCCCATACGCTCAGCGCGAGACAGCCTTCCAGAAGGGCCCGAAGACAATGCCAGCAAATCGCGTCCCGGAGCAGAGATCCCTCGGCCGTCCGGGCTGGACTGGGCTCAGCCTTTGCAAAAGGGCTGGCGGGGGAGGGGAGAAGCATGATCTCCTCAAGCAAACAATGCCTTTAAAAATCCGATCTGGAAAGAAGTCAGCCAAGGTCCTTATTCACGTTAATGAAGATGGAAGGCACTAACTGTCCTTGGAAAGCGATGAGTCAAACTTGACCGCGCTTCAAACACGTTCCCAGATTCGTTTCCAGCCCGAACAGAGGCGCGTTTCTCCGACGCGGCCTCGGACGGCTCCCGCAGTGGGAGAGGCTGAATTCGATCCCCGCGGACCTGGGCGGGGGAGACGGCGCGTCTCCCGCTGCAGAGCGCGCCGGCTGCCGCTAGGGGCCGCCAGCATGCGGACGCGCGTTTGCCATCTTAAGTCACGAGCTCGGAGAAAGAAAACTTTACGGAGGAGCTGTTGCGGCACAAATTCTGGCCTATCCACATGACCCCCACCCTCTCTCTCTCTCTCTCTCTCTCTCCCTCTCTCTCTCTCTCTCTCTCTCTCTCTCTCTCTCTCTCTCTCTCTCTCACACACACACACACACACACACACACACACACACACACACACACACGCACTGTTTAGGGACAAGCACAAGTGAATTTTAATAAGGCTGGAACTGCCGTAGTGAACCCTGCATCAGGCCCTGCCGGGGCTCCCGGTCTCAGCGGTGTCTCAGCCAACTAGCTGCACAGCTGCAGACACCACCGTGGTCCGCGGGCAGGTGAGGTCAAACGGCGGAGCTGCTTTTATTCTTGGGGGAAGACACTCTTCGCCTCTTGGCTGGGGGACGGGAGGGTACAGGAGGCGACAATGGATAAAAGCGAATTTGATAACGCGATGGCCTCTGCAGCCGCTGGATAACTGAGGTGTTCGGGGACATTATGTCCTGATTCTCATTTCTATCACGTTTCCTGCCAAAGTGCTTCCTGCAAGCCTGCAAGCTTCTAGGAAATGCAATAAAACAGAGGGATGTGTTTTATCATCAAGATCTGAAGAGGAGTTGCAAAAGGGACGTTTCATACGCTCAGCGCGAGACAGCTCTTCCAGAAGGGCCTGAAGACAATGCTAGCAAATCGCGTCCCGAGCAGATCCTCGCCGTCCGGGTTGACTGGGCTCAGCCTTTGCAAAAGGGCTGGCGGGGGAGGGAGAAGCAGATCTCTCAAGCAAACAATGCCTTTAAAAACTGATCTGAAAGAAGTCAGCCAAGGTCCTTATTCGTTAATGAAGATGGAAGCGTACTAACTGTCCTTGGAAAGCGATGAGTCAAACTGACCGCGCTTCAAACACGTTCCCAGATTCGTTTCCAGCCCGAACAGAGGCAAGGTTTTTCTCCGACGCGGCCTCGACGGCTCCCCGCAGGGAGAGGCTGAATTCGATCCCCGCGGACCTGGGCGGGGGAGACGGCGCGTCTCCCGCTGCAGAGCGCGCCGGTTGCTGCTAGCCGCCAGCATGTGGACGCGCGTTTGCCATCTTGTCACGAGCTCGAGAAAGAAACTTTACGGAGGAGCGCAGGTGCCACCGGCTCATCCATGACTCCCCACTTTCTTTCACACACACACACACACACACACACACACACACACACACACACACACACACGGTTTCTCGCCAGGCTACTATGCAATGGATGTTAGGAAGGGGAAGGGAGCGATTTCAGGATCGAGGCTCGCCAAGCAAGTCTTTGGCCCAGGCCTTAATCCCCATCTTAACACGCAAACCCACGAGCTCCGAGACCCACACCCCTCAGCACCATCTAGGCTTTTCTTGTCTATTACCGAAAATCTTAGGCCATATTTTCTTAAAAAAAAAAAAAAAATCCTCCAAGACTGCTGCGGAGCGGTTTCCAATGAGCACTGGCAACAAAGGTGGCCTAAGAGGTTAAGCTCATGGTTCTGGCTGCCGATCCATTCTCATAAATACTTCAAAGGAGCTGAGATAAACCCGCCTGTGACTTTCAGTCACTGACATGAAATTCAGAAGCTTAAAATCTGGTCCTGGTTAAGACACTAACTCACCACTAACAAGCCTCCTTGTTGGGCCTGTTTCCTCAACTGTAAAACAGAGTTGTACGTCCCAAAGCCCCTGAGCTCCTAGATGGCATCCTTCCACTACCGACTTCCCCTAAGAAGGGCCACAGGGACAGGAAGATGGTGTGTTCGAAGCGGGTTATTTGTGGTTTCTTTTAGTGGAAATAGATGCTCATCGCTGAGTGATGGGCAAGCAGCGAGGCCTTTCTGATTTTTCATCCCTCTTGTCAAAACTTTGGAGGTTGCATGCCATCCCCATTGGAGGGTGCCCTCCTTCTGTCAGTCCTAGCATCTGGTCAGGGCACCGCCGCCCGAGAGGTGGAACAGCGAGCCCACCGCCCATGGCCGCGAACTCGATCTCAGCCCACCGCTAGGTGGCAGGCCAGCCCGTCCGAGAATCGCCGCGCGGCCGCAACTTCCACACCGATCCCTACCCGTCCCTCTTTATTTTCTGTCTGGTGGGGGCGAGGGTTGGGGGTGTGATTGCCTCTAAAAGCAAAGCTAGAAAACATTTAATTTAGTGGATGGCATTCCGTTCTTCCCGATGCTCCCGCCTGTAGCAACCGCAACGTGGTATCTGGGGGCTGGTTTCATGTATCATAAGTTGATTTCCCCCCCTCCCATCTCCCGAAAAGCTTTATGTACTGGGAAGGGAAAGAAGGTGCACTTGTCTTCAAAAAGCAGAATGGCACTCGACGGCATTGGCACATATTCTTGCCAAACACTGGTCGTCCAGCAAAGAAAGTCGGGAATAAACTCCTGATCTTCTCGGAGGAAAGGGGCGCTGGGGGCCGAGAGCTGGATCCCACTCAGGCTCACTGCGTCTGGCAAAGCGGGGGAGTGGGGAGTCGGGTAAGGTCTTTTGGTGAAGTTGTGGGTCTCGGGAGGGTTGGGGGGGGCCGTTCCTGGCTTCCACTGGGGCAAAGAGAAACCAGCCAGTTTTACCACTACGCTGCACCCTCGCTGTGCTCGCGGCGGCAGTGGCGGTCCCACTTGTTGCGCAGTGATGGAAACCGGCACGCGCCATTCGATGTTGACTCACAGAGGGCTACAGACCAGCCTACCATTGCTCCACGCCATCCACAAACCTCCTCAACACACCCCCTACACATACGTCCTGCCACCGCCGGCAAAACTACAGCATTTCCAGCCACTGTGGTGTTTTACACCTAAACATCCCTCACTATCTCGGTATCCGACAGGCAGCAAAATTAAGATGCCCTGAGAAGTCAGTCCAAGGGGAAGGTCGGGCTACCTCCGCCTGGAGAACTCTTCTACTTAAAGTCAACCAGTGACCCTCCCCCCACCAAATATATATATATATATATATATATATATATATATATATATGAACCACGTTGCCTATTATAACACCATCCTAGTTGGAAAGCAACATTTTTCTTCCCTACTTGATAAACTGCAAAGTCCTTTTTATCCGTTAGTTTTATCCCCCCCCCTTTTTTTTTTAAATCTCTGGGGGAAAAAATGTTTCATAAGTTCACTTCCCAATATTTTTCAAAAATTGACTTTTGCCAATAGTTTCACCCACCGAGGGGTGGCGCTGCTGCACCGCCTCCTCTAAATCTCTAAGTTTTTCACAACAAAGTGGGTTGTGAGTGTCATTACCCTGTAGGGGATAGAGGGAAGGAAGGGTTTTGACATCTAGCCATGGCTACCATTTACTCAACCAATAACTGGAACTCTTCAAGGGCTCAGCAAACGACAACTTAAGAATTTAGAGTCCCATTCCTATCCACCAAACCGAGAATAAGTTAGTCTTTTCAAGAAAGCATTGGAATAAAACCCTTCAAAACTGAAAAGAAAAGGGACAATTGGAGAATTCCCACTTTGTCTAGCTGTCTCCTTCAAGTCCCTAGTTTTCATGAACAGCATCTAGCCTTACTGTCCCTACCAACAGACCCTTAAAACTAGCCAATGCTTCAGTCTCTAGTATTGGAAAGTCTTCCAAATAGGATACTGAGGATACTGGAAACTTCTATTTATAAACTTGGGGTGGCGGTGCGCGGGGGGGCGGGGCGGAGGTGGAGAGAGAGCTCCCATCTACAGGTTTCTATTTTGGCCTGAAGACTCAACTGCAGTCATTAGAGTAAGGGAATGCCCTGGTACTTGTTCGCCATTTCCTCCTCCCCCAGAGATAAACACCTTTTCGTCTTTTTTAAAAAAGTATGTATTTTAAAGCAAGAATGTGATTTCATCTCTCTCCTTTGAGCTCATGTTTGCTACCTCCAGGAATAGCGTGTGGACTAGGGCCAGATGAACTTCAACTTGGGCTGCAGATTTACGAGGTTCTGTTCTAGTGCCAAAGGCTCTTGGTAGTAAATAGTGAGCAAAATAGATACCTGTCTCCTGATGGATCTTGCCGCCCCCTCTTTTTTTTAAAGTTATTTATTAAAACCACACACACCTTGCAAAGAAAAAGGGAAACTGGCAGTCTCTGTAGAGGAAGCCGGTGGCATCGCTCAGAGCCACAAACTGTATTTCTAAACAGCCCTTTCCCTGGTTCCCTCTCTCCTGCCCCACTTTTTTTTAATCCAGACTGTAAAAAACACATCTACTGACACTCA